AAGTCGCGTTCTGCCGAAATGTCCAAGATCGTTGTCTTGAAAATACAACGTGCGTGCGCGCAACAAAAGGGAAAGAAGTTCAAGACAATGCCGTGCCAGATCACATGGTTAGGAACTAAGGAGTCTGACAAAGTACTAAGGACACAGGTAATGCACCAAATCCTGAAATTCACAAGTTTCTCCCAAACCTAGAATTACCGAACCTGATCTACATGCTATCATTCGGTTTCTTCAGAACCAATTTCGAGGCTGCTGGTTCTCGTGATGTGATTGATGGGAAGATACACGAAACTGGAACCGAACCTGATGCCGAGGCACACCTGCTGGTTGTCCAGCTGCCAAGCAAATTTCCAACCGCGATACAAGCTCTCACAAGTACAAAAGCAACCATATCGGAGTCGCAACTACTGTAGTTCACGAACCCAAAGTGCAATCCAACTTCTGAAGTCATCACACAAGTCAAATGTATTCCTCCCACTACTGGATCTCAGTTCTGACAAAATCCGCGCGCGTGTCGCTGAAGCTGTGGGCCAAATAAAGCCGCAGGAAAGTTGAAGTCCCAGGTTTAGTCGAACCTATTGAAGGCTGTAGTGAGGGTGACAACCCTAAGCGAGCTCGTAGCAATCTCATGCGATTAGTCCAAATGACCCGGTAACCCTAACTCGCATGAACTCTTCAGTAACCCTATCCTGGCAGCATGGCGCAATCAGGACGAGCAGGGTCAGCAGCAGCAGCAGCGGCGCTGCGCCATGTGCTGCTACTGCAGCGGGACGTGCCGCGGGCAGCGAATTTTTTCAGGGAGGGGTTGGGACTGCCCGTGTTGGTGTGCACGGAACGATGGGCGGAGGTGCAGGCGGGACCCACGCGGATCGCGCTGCAGCAATGCGACAGGTGGCGGAGGGTTGGGGGGGAGGGCGGGGGAAGGAGGTGGGGGGATGGGGGGAGTAGGGGAGTGGGATTGTGAGAGAAAGAGGGGGAAAGAGGATGTAATGCCCACGCGGATCGCGCTGCAGCGATGCTACAGGTGGCGGAGTGTTGTGCAAGAGCGGGAGAGAAGAAGAGGGGTGATCGAGGGAAGACAATAGAGAGGATGGGAGAACCTGGGGGGGAGTGATGGGACGAAGGGGAGAGCGGGAGGGAAAGGAAGAAGTCTCTGCAGCAATGTGTCAGGAGGTGGCGGTTTGGGGGGTAAGGCAATGGGGAGTGACTAACCATGGGGAGGCCGTTCACTAACCATCCTACCGTCTCCTCCTTTTCATCCCGTCTCACTCTTTCCCCTTCCCTCTCAGCACAGCGCACACATCTCACGGCTTCTCTCCCCTTCTGTCCTTCTCTGTGCGTGGAGAAGGGGAGTTTGATTCCACTCTCCTGCGCATGCTGCGGTTGGGAGCGGTGATGGACGGTGCTGTGGTACACATGCCACAAGGCCGTGTGAGTCCTACACTAAGTAGAATTACATGCAGTAATGTTTTGTGACTGTCAGTGCTTGCATATAATATGTTCGAGGGTAAGAATGTTGTGTACTTGTTCTATTTGTGTGCAGGTGGCGGCTCTAAGGGCTCCTGATGGCCCAATGCTGAGTCTTGTAGAGGAATCAGAGGAGGCTTGAGACGAGAAGGATGTTCAGCTCTGTTACGAATGTGGAGTACCGTACATAAACAAGAAAGATGGCATGGGTTCTTAGTATTTTGTTTCACCTGTAAAATATAGCGTTGGTTCCACTATAATTATTATTGGGCCTTTTCCAAAGATCCTATTAGAGCACTCTATAAGATGATTCGAATTCTTCATGGGTTGGTTCAGGTCATATGCTACTTATACGAGCAGTTAGTACCGCGAACTACTTCCTTTCCTTCAACCGTACCTCCCGCCACCATAGTGCTCGTGTCGTGTCCACCGTCTGGGTCCAGGAACAGAACATCGTAGGAGCGTCGCGCAGCATCGCGCAGGGTTGCGCAGAATCGTGCGGCATTGCGCAGGAGCGCATCTTTTGAGTTTCCGTGCACTTTGACTCTTGACGAGTGCCTTGACTTCGACCAATAGGGAGACAGAGCCTGTCGACCAATGGCATCGCAGCGGGAGCCAGCAGACGACACCCCGAACCTTCGCGAAAACCCTCCAGCTCAGCCTATCGGCTCAGGTCGCTCACGAAACAATCAGGAAGCCCTCGACCACCACGCAGATGGATCCTCCTTAACCAATACCACCAATGGACGGCGCGAGAAGGAATCTGAACCGTTGATTTACGATCCGTCGAAGAAGGAATTGGCGATGGCGGCGTGCGCGGACGAGCATTTGGCGCTGCTGGCGTGCATGCGCAACCAGTCGTCTTTTGCGCTCATCTGGGGGCAGTCGGAGGAGTGCCGCGCGAAGCACGCTGCGTTTTGGGAGTGCTACGGCCGCAACCGCGGCGTGCGGGGGAACAGGATTGCCGCGTGGCTCGCGCAGCCGGTGCTTTCGTGGGGCGCGGAGGAGGAGGGGAAGAAGGCGGAAGGGGGAGGTAGGATGGATGGTGAAGGGAGGAGGGAGCAGGAAGAGAGGAACTCTTGAAAGGAGGAGGAGAGAGCGGGTGAGTGAAGAACGGGCGGTATCCAAAAGAGTGCAGTGCGGTGCAGTGGAATGCGTTCACGTACATCCTATCAGACGCTGGGGCGTGGGGGGGAAGAAAATCGCAGTTCGGCTGGCGTAGCCGGGGATCTCCAGGGCCTCTGAATGCGCTGAGAGAGACACAGGCACCGGTGCAGACACAGACAGAGTCACTGACATGAAGATCCAGACATTGTCACACGCGCATGCACGGTTGCAGATGCAGATTCTCATCTAGAATGCCCTGAGATGACGGAGAGGGTATGCCTTCACACAGAGCGCCGCAGGAGCTTGGAACACTGATAGATGCGTGGTCGGTGCAGCCTGTGCTCTCCAGGTGCTTGAGGCCTGGGACATGATACGGTAGGTAGGAATGGGCTTGATATGCTATTATTCTGGAATGCCTGTGGCCTCAGGATTGAGAAATACTCTGGTCAGACACAAGAGAAGTCCTGGAGGCCAGGCTGCTGGAGGGATGCCTGCCAGTGATCTTGGATGGAGGCTCAGAGAGCTAGGGGTATGCCAAGGCTAACATCGCTGATTGCGGGCCCGGTTCTCTCAAAGTGGGAAGGGTAATGCGTTTCGTCTAGTAAATATACTTCCCTTATTTTGTTGGACGATACCTTAAACAAATGGAATCAGGGAAAGATTGTGGCTCTCGCAGAATTGTGTACGCTATGGAAACAGATAATACCGGTTCGTATATTTCCGATGATGCTACTGGCCGAAAATCTCCCTGGTCATTCGTTTCCCCGCCTCCCCCTAGCTCACTCCCGCTTTCCGCCCCGCTTCACGTCCGCCACTCTCCGCACTTTCCCCCGGTAGATCTTTCCACCACTCTCCACCTCCCGCCATCCCTTTACCCCTGCATCCTATTCTTCCAACCTACCTCTTTATTTCCGTAGTCCCAACCCAACCCGCAAACCGCGCATCCAGCTCAGCTCTCCATCGGCCAGGGGGCTTCGACTCCACCGTACCGCTCCAACGCGTTCGATTCGTTATCCGTTGGACCTTCCTAGCCAGCGATCATGGGGCTCGCGGACGTGCTTTACCGCACGGTCATGAAGCGCAACTCGGTGTACATCGGCTTCATCTTCGTCGGCGCGCTTGCCGGAGAGCGGGTAAGGCACCGAACCACAGCGTCGTTTTGCTTGGTTTCGCTCCGCATACCCTGGGTCTCTCGATCGATCGACGGATAGATCTGGGTGCGGTTAGGTTTGAGTTTCGTCTCGGCTTCAGCTGTACTTCGTGGGAGATTCCCAGCGTTTATGAAGCCGAGAGTGTTTTGCTGGCACCGATGCGTTTAGTCCAGGAGGCGTATACTGGAAAGGTATCCACTCCGTCCGTTGATGCCTCGAAGCAAGTTTTGGGTATCCCGCTTCGAACAGCCGGTTCATTCTTTCATTCCCTACCAGTACTTGGATCAAAGCATCCAGTTCAGCTCTACGGTACATTCTTTTTTTGCGTGGCCACTAATGTTCCGACTTCTATATAGATAGCCTTGCGCGTGGTGTCGGGTCTGAGCTCAGATGCTTCGTCGTGCTTCCTGTAAGTGCTGTGGTCTAGGAGCCTTGCATAGCTGGCCTTGGGGAATCGCGGACCCACCTGCAATTCTAGCGTCGTGCTGGCGATATAGATATGTTACAAGTCAACTGGTTCTGTTCTGATGACGCCGAGGGGAACGTGTGTGTTTATTTATTTCCGCTTCATTTGCCTCTTCACTCTTGTCTCTTCCTTCCACGCTGCCCCTTCACCAGACGGTCAACTACACCTTTGATCAGCTTTGGGACTCTTACAACAAGGGGGTAAGTTCTGATGCAAGAGATACATTGGTCCTTGTTCTGTCACGTATATTTTTTTTATATGGATGTTCATGTTTATTACTTGCCTCACTGTCTTCGCTATGCTCCCTTCACTCTTTTTGACATGTTGCCTCCTCCCTTTCCTTCCCTTTCTGTTCCTGTGCAGAAGCGGTACGAGGACATTTCTGTTCTTGGAACAAGAACAGGGGAGGAGTAAGCTTGAGTGCATCATGATATGATAACCACTCTTCAGACAAAGATTAGCCTGTGCAAATGGACAGATATTGTACCCAGTTGTTCCTGCTCGTCTAATGTTTGAAGAAGCGATTTTTTCCTGCCTGTTCGTCTGACAGGTAATAACGGATGCAACATTTGTACAATTTGTGCCCGTGCATAACAGCACAGCCCTGAATGAGCTGCACATGCAAGACCAAAGAGCTGTGCAGAGCAGAGACATGCTCCTTCCCAGCCAATTACCGTAACATGTTCGGGTAGAATCAACACAAAAATGATTAGACTGAAAAGCACAGCAGCACACTAGCTGTTGCCCAAACCAAATACAGGTTAGCAATGCCCGCTCATCGAGATTCATTGTCAGCTAGGCCTAGTCTTCTACTTATGCTTCAAAGCGTTACTGCCACCTGTGGAGCCAAACCCTCCAGCCCCCCGTGTGGTCTCATCCAACTCTTCCACCTCCACAACATCAGGAGTCACTATTCGCTCCAGGATCAGCTGTGCCACTCTGTCGCCGACCTTCACAGAGAAGTCCTTGTCAGAATGATTGAAGAGAATCACTCCGACGTTTCCACGGTAATCGTAGTCAACCACGCCTCCTCCCACGTTGATGGAATGCTTCAGGGCAAGGCCAGAGCGAGGAGCTGAAATGGGACGATAATGGATCAGAGAATCAAGGATAGAAGAGAATGTATCAGGGAGATAGCCTCGGAAGTTTCTGCGAAATGAATGCTCTAAAACGATAAACTTTTGCGTTGAAATAATAAGACGAGGCGGCCAGTGGCTGGGGAATGTCTCAGACTTAGCAGGGAATTGGGAGGATAAGAGCGGAACTGGGACTCACCCACTCGAGCGTATGTCCCCAAAGGAATGGCGATTGCGAGATCAGTCTTGACGAGTGCCTGACCCCTTGCAGGCACAGTGACGTCATGTGCGCTGAAACATGACAAGAATGCGATGAGAAGAACATTCAGGCAGAGGGAGATTGACATTGGCCCGAAATCAATGAGGTAAACAGTTGTCAAGTCGGTTACTTGGCTCCCCGTGAACGCGGCTGGAATTTGATTCGCGTACCTTGAAAGATCGTAACCGGCTGCACTCGCAGATCCTCGTTTGGGAAGAACTGCCGTCTCTGACAGCTTCTTGACACGGAGAGACAATTCCGGGTCAAACTTCACCTTCTTCAATGGCGGTTCTTCTGGAGCTTGATTGCCATCTGTTTTCGGTTCTTCTGAAGCCGAAGCATCTTTCGCGTTTTGCTGATCTGAAGCCACGGTCTCAGATTTCGGCTCTTCTGACGCCATGATGACACGGGGAAGCCCGAAGTTATATCTAATGAGCTGCACACCCCGCGTGGATGATTCGGCACGTAGAAAAGGAACGGATTGGGGAACGAGACAAGACGAGACAGACGGAATAGCGAGAGGATGCCGGCGGAGGAGACAACCAAGGCTATGTCGGAGAATGGAGAAAACCATGTGTTGGCTCAATTGATTTGCAGCAAAGCATACAGATAAAGCAGGGAATGATGCTGAAGCCCAGAAAACGTTGTCTCTAAGCTGAGGGCGCATTCAAAGAGGCAAGTTACAGCATGCGACGGTAGACGACGACACTTGCAGAGAACACCTCACAAGAAACCATCTGTTCCTGACCCGTCAGAACGTAGTGAATTGTCAAAAAGTTGCTCTGTCTGTGTAGTTCATCAGACCTACCGCGTCGCCCACACGATTCAAAAACGAGATTTCAAACACTCGGAGGAGAACCGCGTTATGCATTTCAAATTGATCGCTTTAGAAGAACTATGGTAATAAATTCGGAGTGAACATAAGAGATCATAACTGATTGCATTGGTTGATCACACAAGTGGTAGGGCTGATTATTCTACTGAAACAACAGGACCTTTTCGAAAAAGCGCAATTCCACTTAACTCTGGCGCATGAGCCTTGACTTTCTTCTCCTTCAACCCATCCCCCTTTTTCCGCTTCTTTCTCTCCTTTCCCTCTTGACCCTTCAATCCAACTCCATTCGACTCCTCCCCAGTCCCATCATTCCTTTTCCCCTCTTTCTTCCCCATTTTGTCCTTGCGCTTCCTCGCTCCCTTTGTTTCACCACCACCCCTGCCACTGCCACAGCCACCATCACTGTTACTGGTACCATTTTCTGCATCCTCTGCGTTCCCTTCCCCTCCCCTTCCTTCTCCTTTCCCTTTCTCCGCAGCAGCTACAGTCATCTCCAGAAGCCTGTCTAGATGCTGATGCAGCATATCCTGGGCCTGGACAAATAAAAAAGGAAAAGAAAAGGGACAAGGATCGAAGTGAGAGAAGGAGCAAAACTGTATCTTCAACAACTTTCCCACATGCTGATGCAGCACATCCTGGGTGAAGAGTCAAATCACATTTAAATGAACAAGGACACAGGAAGAGAAGTGTCAGGTGAAGGGTGGGTGGAAAAGACAAGAACACGGGGAAAGAAAGGGGAGCATGATTGAAGCACAAATGATAAAGTATAAGCTAACCGAATGACCCGGGACAGAACAGAGCGAGGAAAAAAAAAAAAGGCAAAACATACTGGTGGGGCAGGGAAGAAAAAGCTAGGCACGATCCAAGCGCACACGACGACCGGTAAGTGAGGAATAATCTGAGCAAGGAATGAGCACTACAAAATACGCACCCGAATCTGATAGTGCTTCAGCTTCAGGTCTTTTGACTTATCTCCTCCGCCTCTCCCCTCCCCTTCCTCCCCTCCCTCTTCATCATCCTCACTCTCACTCCCCTCCTCCTCCCCGTCTGGCTGTATACCCATCTTCCTCAGCCGCCTCCTCTCCTTGCTCGCCAGGGTTGAATGAAGCCCCCTCTTTGCCTTGCGCTTGTGCCTGCCGCACACCACACATGCTCAGACAGACACAAGCACAGACAAGCATGGTCACGGACACTAGGAAACACTGTCACCCCCACAAAGACCTTGGAGTTTTCATGTTTCTTCAACCACGACAGAGGAAATCGCTGCTGCCTCATTGCCGCTACCCTGCACCCGAAACCCTAATATATTCAAAGCTTCACCTGAACTGAACGTGGCAGCAGCAGCAGCAGCAGCAGCAGCCATGATACACGACCCCTCAGCCACGACGGAGTTTATTTTTGCCTGTTTTCCCGTCTCTACATGCCAGCAAAAACCCTAATTCCCCGAGTATCTCACCTGAACGTCACTGGATTAGCAGCAGCGCCCACGATGTGCGATCCTCCAAACACGACAGATCTGATCGCCTGCCTGCTTCGTCGCCTCCCCCCTCCACCCCAAACCCTAATCTATTCAGGGTCTCACCTGAACGTGGAATTAGCAGCTGCAGCGCCCATGACATGCGATCCTTCAACAACGACGGGCTCGCCTCTTGTCTTGTCCCCTCTACCCTGCACCCCAAACCCTGACGTATTCAGGCGCTCACCTGAACGTGGGATCAGTGGCAGCGCCCATAACATGCGACCCTTCGACCATGACGGGAGCTGATCGCGGCCTGGCTTTTCGCCTCTACCCTGAACCCATACCCAGATTTTCGCGAGCCTCTCACCTGAACGTGGGATCAGCAGCAGCGCCCATAATATGCGACCCATCAACCACGACAGAGCTGATCGCGGCCTGCCTCTTCGCCTCCTCCTCGTCCTCGCTTGAGCTGTCTGCTGCTGCATTAGACACCTCCGCCACACCCGATGCTTTAACCTCAACGAATGCTTTAACCCCAGCAGACGGCTTGCCCCTAGAAGACGTTTTAACCCCACCCGACGCTTTAACCCCAACCCCGTTCGACGTTTCAGCTGCATCGGATGCTAGCTCCACAAAGGAACCCGAGAGGTCTGCATTTTCGGCCGCTACTCCACCGCTTCGGCTCTCGCGTTTCGCACGCTTTTCCGCTCGTCGATCCTCCTTTTCCCGGCGTTCTCTCTCGCGCTTCTCCTCCTTCTCCTCTCGCTTCTTCCTCCGACTCTCCTCTTTCTCTCTCTCCTTCGCTCGCGAAAACGTCACGCTATCAAGATCGCCGCCCTGCGTCCTCTCCTGTCCCACCATCTGCTCGAAATACCGCAATCTTCCCGCGCCTTTTCGTTCTTGGACCCCCTTATCCATCGCCGACGCATCCACGTCAGCGACACCCCTGTCCACGTCATCATCTAGACTCTCCGTGTCACTTCCGCGAGCGTTTTTCCGAGGAGGAGCGGGTTTCCCAGGGTAATGCGCTCCTGGAAACAACCATCGGGAGCACTTGGGCTTTTTCTTCTTCTTTTTCCCGCCAACTGGTGGGGTGTACTTCAGTCCTAGAGTTTTCGCCTCAATTCGCGCCTGCTCCTCTGCGTTGATAAGAATTTCGCGCTTTTTGAAATTCTTGCCTGAAAACTTCCCTCTTCGCGGCTTTTGCTTGATTAACTTTCGCACCACCATGACTGTACCAGGGGTAGGTTCAAAGACTGAAAGAGTACTGCTTGGGCTAGTTTAGCTCCTGGAGCCCGCGAACTGTGGAAACTTAGCTCGCGAGCTCGCCAACCCATTCGGTTCAGCGAAGGCTACCCACCAAACTGTAAGCTGTAACTTCAAATGCCCTGAGAGTTCGTCCGAATGCGGTTGAAAAAGTTATACAGATGCTTCAGAGCGGTCTAATCAAAGATCAAATGGTTGGGAAGGGTTTTCAGCGATTACGGACATTGTTGGACCCTCCCGTTCACGCTGGGGGGTGTAGCGTCTTCATCAAATCCGTTCACCACAGCCCACGCCAACCCTATCCACTCCCAAGGCTCGCCAAACCGCAAAACTCGACACTTAATTCCCTCGAACCTCTTCTAACCCCTCTTAAATCCTCAATATCATCTTTTCCTGACCAGCTTCCCGGGCTCTCAGACATTTCAGAGGAAATCGATCATTTTCGACTGGCACACCCACCTGCCATCGCTCCAATAACTAGGGGCACCGATAGACTGCAATAACCAAGAGCACCGATTTCCTGTTCTGATCACTTCTGTTAGGATTCTACCTTTTTATCGGTCTTTCCCCTCAGAATCTTGTGTCAGCCATCTGATCTCAGTCCATCCAAAAATCTTCCCGCTGTTATCGCTGGTTTCTTGGGTCTGGTTACAACGGTCATATTGCTAGATCCTTGATAGCGAAGCTCGTGAAGGTGAGCACACCGTCCATTTCGCAAGTTTCCATCACCAGCTGGTGAATATCACAGGAGTAGACGAAGCGTTACATATTGTTGATGCTGTTCCCTGAGTAAGGGGTGCCTTGAGGCATGTATTACCACTACAGCTTCCTGTCAATGTTCTTGCGAATTCATTTCCTGACTATCCTCCTCCCCGATGTACCTACGTTCTCAGTCACAGACTGATTCTCCTTATCTTTCCGAGGCTGTTAAGCAGAAACAGAAACGTCGCTGAAAGCCAGGCGGACAAAGCCAGGGGGCAATCATGAATGTCGATGAGGAGATTGAAAAGCTCAAGGAGGAAATTACAAAGCTGGGGGAGAAGCAGGCAGATGGTTCCGTCAAGGTGCGTGTTAGGGATGCATTCCATTCCCACCTGTATGTCTGTGGTTGCACGCACAACATTCGTATTTGGTGCACACCTTTTGTAATGCATAATGTGCCGTTAAGCATCCCCCGTGCTTGCTTGTTGGTGAGGGATCTGTCCGTGCATGTATCATTTTGTACGCATATACAAACAAACGATTGAGACGTTTAGCGCATGTGTCCGTTTGTTTCACCTCAGGTGAAGTTTGGCAAGCTTTTTGACGAAACGGGAGACATTTTTGAGGCACTTGGAGGAACGCTACGAGCTGCGAAGAAGAGGAAGATAATAGCATTTGCAGCGGAGATGCTTCTGCAAGGCAGAGATAACAATGTGGACATCATACTTCTACCACAATGACAAAACACGAAGTATGCACCTGTTGCATCTGAGGATAATTGTTTGAAGCAACTGAGAGTAGTGGTTTTCCTGAAATTTAATTACCGGTATTAGAACCACCTCAAATGGGTTTGTAGGACAAAAAGTAGCTCTTGGCAGAGTAGCTGAAGTGTTTGTAGGAGTCATGTGCTCAACTGCACTGCTCTAAAAGTCAGAAGAACTGCATCTGATACATGCATGCGCTTATTTGCTCCAAACAGAAGCTAGTTACAGGTTAGATGGTGATCACAGCAAGTTCCCCCAAGCGAAGTAGCCACAAGAGGCCCAAAAGTGCAGAAATTTGAGTCCAGCGTGGCAGTTTTGCCACTGACCACACCCACTCCACGTGTCATGCGAATGTGGATACACACCTAAACGAGTTTGAGCGAATTTTCAAACCCAATGAGAAGCATGTCAGAGGTCCACTGGAGATCCCCGATGATCCTAGGGAAGGGTTACAGGCACATCGGCCTGGGGGGTTATGGGCGCACTTACCCGCCATACAAACAAGCCCTTTTATCCCAGTGGTTAGTGGCTGGGATTCTGACATGGTATCAGAGCAAAGGTCTCGGGTTCGAATCCCGGTGTGTGCACCTCGGGCATCCCAGTGCGAGGGGGTGTCAGAGGTCCACTGGAGATCCCCGATGATCCTAGGGAAGGGTTACAGGCACATCGGCCTGGGGGGTTATGGGCGCACTTACCCGCCATACAAACAAGCCCTTTTATCTCAGTGGTTAGTGGCTGGGATTCTGACAGAGCATGTAACCCTGTCAACTTCAAGATTGTTCATGAGAAGCTTTCGTGAAGCAGCCCCATCAGGACCTCAGATTTCAGCGAAAAAAGGCTGATTTAGGTAAAATGGGCTGAGGTTTCAGACTTACTTGAGAAGCAGGGGCTGATTTTTCAGCAATTTTTTTCCGAATAAGTAGGAAAAACTACGGTATGAAATTCCTAGTGGAAAAGGGCATAAAATTGCATATTTGTCTGATTTTCAGCGTAAATCTTTGTACACCAACTCTGATTGATCAGCCTAGCTCAAAACTGTTAAAATAGTAGCTAGTAGAGACTAGGGTTTAGGAGAGAGAGTTGGCCAAAAGAGGGCTGACATTGAGAAGTGACGAGAGAGTTATACAAGGAACAACCAAGAGGTGCACCACCTAACAGAAATGTAACACCATTATACTTATAGCTAGACTTGTATGCAGTTATAATAACATAACTCGGACATCCCTCCTTAACTGCGTATAGGAATAGCAAAGTGTAGAACACAACCTGCAGGGGTACACAGAGCAGACCAAAGCAGCAGAACGCAAGAGCAGTGACAACCAGTGCAGTGGTGGCAGAGACAGCTGCAGCAAGCCCTGAGGCAAGTAAGAGAAAACGAAGACGATGTGCTGTGGCGCGCTTAGTTTGCAGCTCAACAGCAAAGAAGGCGATGTGCTGTGGCGCACTTAGTTTGCAGTGTCAAATGATATATATGTGTGATATATATTGGTAGGCTGTAGTGGGGTAGATGTTATAGGGGATAACACTTTAGGGTTGTGTTGGTGGGAGTGGGGGTGGATCTGGCCAGAAGGGTGGCCCCACTGGTGGCCAGCAGCAGCAGCAGCAGCAGCAGCAGCAGCAGCCACAGCAGCAGCAGCAGCTTCCTCCCCTCACCTCCCAGCAGCTCAATGACTGGTATGCTGGGCGTGGGGCGTCTCGGGGTTCTGACCGCTGCCCCTATGTCATTCGTACTGGCCCCCGCAAGGGTCGCCCCTGCAACGGTTTTCACACTGAGTACCGTTGTTTTGCTAGGCTTAGTGACGCCTGGCGTGCCAAGTATCCTGATGCTACTGAGTTCCCCAACTGGGCAGAGCTGCTTAGGCGTGATGTGCCTATCTTTGATCTGGACTATGATGTTATTCTTGCTGCCATGTATGCATTGACTGTTAGTGCTGAGGGTGACTGTTACTTGTGTGTGCCGCCTGACCCTGGTATTGACCCCGGTATAAGGGCTGCAGCCCTAGGTGCTAGTGAGTCTGCTCCCCTTGGTACTGAGTCGGCTCAGGCCTTGCACACGTTTACACTTGACTCTGGTGCTTCCCGCTGTTTCTTTCGCGATAGCACCACCGTCACTCCCCTCCCTGCACCTGTCCCTGTCTCACTGGCTGACCCCTCTTGGGGCCCAGTGCTTGCACGAGCCACGACTGTGCTCCCGTGCCCGGCGGTCCCGTCTGGTGAGCTGTCAGGTCTCCTCGTTCCCTCGTTCTCTACGAACCTGGTGAGCAACGCCGTCCTCCAGGATCACTGGGTTGACACCTGGACTCCTGGAGGGCAGCGTGTGGCGATCTGCACGTGCTCCAAGACTGGCCGCCACCTGGCCACGTTCACTCGTGAGCCGGGGTCCAGTCTGTACACCCTCACCACTGTTTCATGTCAAACATTGTATGTTTATATTGTGTAGGCTATAGTGGGTCTAGCCTTAGAGGGTACACAAACTTAGGGTTTCATACTTGTACCCACCTTCCTGCTAGTTCATCCATTCCTCGTTCAGTTATTCTGACATGGTTTCAGAGCAGGTCCTTCGCTAGGACCTAAGTTTTTTTTTTCGGGCCCACCTCTACTAACTACTTCCTAGCGCCTTAGTGCGCCCTACTGTCGGAGTGCTGCGTTAGCGCCTCCCCCTCTGCGCCCTTGTGCGCTCTACCTTACGTGCGCCCTCGTGCGCCCTCGTGCGCCTTTCTCTGCTAGTGCGCCTTCGTGCGCCCTCGTGCGCCCTCGTGCGCCCTCGTACGCCCTCGTGCGCCCTCGTGCACTCTCGAGCTGCCCCTGCAGGTCCGTCAGGCCAGTGCGCAGCCTCTGCACGACCGCACGCCGCCCCTGCAGGCTCTCGCCGCCCGCCGCGTCGC